CGCCCCCAGCCGGCTGCCCTCGTGGATGCCTCCCGGCGGCGGCGGGCCCATGAAAGACTGCGAGTACAGTCAGATCAGCACCCACAGCTCCTCCCCCATGGAGTCGCCCCACAAGAAGAAGAAGACCGAGGCCCGGAGAAAATGGGAGGTTTTCCCAGGAAGAAACAAGTTCTTCTGCAACGGGCGGATCATGACGGCCCGGCAGACGGGCGTCTTCTACCTGACCCTCATCCTCATCCTGGTCACTAGCGGACTCTTCTTCGCCTTCGAGTAAGTGGCGGTGAAAACTCCCGCGACACCCAGCTCCCTTGGCCTCCCTCGACCCCTGCCCCTCCGCTCGCTACTTTCGTTTTCTAGAAGCCTTATCTACCGTACGTTGTTATGTAATCCCCGCCCGCTGGCCCTCTCTTTCTTTGAAAGATCGGTTTGCTTTTCGGTCCCTGGAGATAATGCAGTTCTGGGTCAGTCTCTGGGCGGAGGGGACTGGAGACCCTTGGAAGGTTTAGCTGGCAGGCGGCATTCTTGATGCTGTATCTGCTGAGTTCGTGACTAGCCCCCTGCGGTGGCCTGCGGGAAGGGGAGAGGGGGCAGATTCCTTAAGTCAGAGATGAATAGAATCGACTTCTTTGCTGGCTGACAAGCTGAAGGGTTTCATTAAGCTCATACAAGCCCGATCATAAAGAATCTTGGTTATTTTAGGTTTCAAATTCTGAGCCCCCCACCTCACCCCACCCCCAACTTGTGGCCGGGGAGGCTCATTTCATTTTACATCCTCCTTAGATGTTCGCTCTTGCTCAACAGTTTCTGATTTATCATGAGGTTTCTAAGCTGGCCACTTTAAAAAAGTTTCAGGAAAAAAAAAATCCCCCAAACAAACTCTCTCTTCTCCCCTCCCAACATCCAGAAACAGGTGAAAGGAGACTTAAGACGGTTGGAAAGAGTAAGCTGTATTGCCTGGAACTTGTGATTCCAGAAACAATACTTTGGGTCTTCAGGGCTTTTAGCTGGGAGAATGTGCTGAGCTTCCTCCCGTTTTCAGGAAAGTCAAATTGGCCAGTAACAGTGCCCCTCCTGCCAGCTAATGAATGATTTTCTTATTATTAATAGTATTAGCTAAGGCAGTTTAATCACATTCCAGAATCAATTCTGGTCACTCTTGCTGGGTCCAGTGCAGCTACTTATGTAATTCTTGGTATCTCCTGCTCCATGAAAGTTGTAGCTACTTTCTCCCCCTGGAATAAAAAAGCCCTATATTAATAGGGAGCACTTTTTCGCGCTCCCCAGATCCTGTGGACACAGGACTTGAGACTCTCTACCGTTCTGTCTCCATCTGCTCCCGATAGACCGGCTTCATTAAAGCCTTTTGTGTGTATTTTCCTTTGTCTGATGAGCACGAAGAGGCTCTGACTTGGCGTTTGGCTTTGCTCTTCCAATTGCTGTCTCAATCAGAAATGTAACACTTTCACTTAAAGCCTCTGCCTCTGAGGGAGACAGAACCGGTGACTGAACGCGGTACTGTGACAAAGGATTTTAGTAGGACTGGGCTAGAGAAGGGGCGAGGGGTGGGGATGAGGTACACCCTACCCAGCCTTGCTCACAGACTACCCACTAGACTGGCAGTTCACACTGTGTGGATTTTCCCTCCATATCTGACTGAAAGATTTCCAGGCCTTTCCAAGATTTACTTTGGTGCTTGCTTGGGACTAGTTGGTGGAGTCTGGCTGGGGACTTGGGGAAGAGGGTTTGGGAATGGCAGGAGCAATGCCCCCTTGTCCTCGTCCAGAGCCAGCTCCCGGCCCTCACAGACCCCATGGCTGGGGGAGTGGGCCAGAGGGGCCAGGCAGATTTGCATTCTGGATCATAATAAATTCAGCGACCATACCATCTGGCTGAACAGAAGTGACATTCCTCAAATGGTGCTGTTAATTGCAAGTGCTCCTCTGGAGAGAGAGAGAGTACCACCTTGTTCGTAATGTTAACGTTTGGAGAGACCTTGTTGACAGTTTTGCTCCTCTTGATAATTTTAAGACTGGAGCAGATGGGTTAATTTTGTCTTCACGTTGTGGTGAGTATTTCAACTTCTAGATAGACCCAGTCACCACTGCTTTGACTCGGGGACCCTCCGACCCTCAGTACCCCCCCATCATTACTGGGCATCAATTATTTTCTGTGTTCTTTACTTTTAATCAGACCATCATAAATGCAGTTTCACTTCTTGATTTAATGCATTTCTTCCAAGGGTTCCCCAAAGCCCTTGCTAGTAGGGTGTCAGG